CTCATATCTTTATTTGATTGCTCTTGTAGACAGCAGTAAGGAAACATGAAATAGCCAAAATGTGACCTGAAAGTAGTTTAAGAGTAGAAAATAGAGATCAGATCCTGCAAACCTTTATCATGTGAGTAGGCCTATTATCTTCAGTGAGGTCCATTGGTATTAATAAGGGTTTGCAGGTATCGTAAGTATCCTCTGCTTCACACACTGGTATTACAAAGAAGGATTAAAGAGAAGGCACTGAATTCATAGAAATTAGAGCTGGAAAAAACTTTTTTAGTCCATCCGTTGATTGTACGATTGCTCCTTAAAATATATTTCCAGTAATTTTTTTTCTGATTAACCAGACTGAATACCAGACTTCCTATTAGAAAGTGCATAGAAATTTCTCCAGAAGTAAGTAAGCAATGAGAATTGCAGATACATAATGCGAGTTTTCCTAATTCAAAAAAATGACATACCAATTCCCCAAATCTTCTTGCTTTACACTGTGAGAGTGTTATCGCAAATTATACATCAGATTTTAAAAGCAAAAATGCCGGGTTTTCAATGCAAATTAACAAGTGATGATTCTTTTCCACAGGCCTTGATCGAATTTCTGTTTTCCCTTTATTTTTTGAAAAGTTACTCCTGCTTTACTCTTGACAGCAAGATATCCTAAAAGCTATAATGATTGTTTATCTGGAGTCTTAAGTGCGTGCATTAGACTTACCATATTCCCCAAGCTAGCTGACTGATTTAAGAAATGCACATGTGTTTTTACACTTCACAAATACAATCAAATCTACATTTGGAGAACATTAAGTTGAAGGAGATAAAATAATGTCAGGTTCTGTGGAAGTAATTTTATTTAAAGATAAACAGTATTTCAATTATATTTTTAATTGTCATTATGTTTGACAACCTAGCAAGTACATTTCCAGAAGCGTGTTTCTATAAAGGAGTATTTGGGTGTATCTGTTATGAGCCATCATCTCTGAGGGCATTGCCATTATTAGTATCACTGTCACTTTTCCAAGATGGCAGAAGATGATGTGTACAGATAACTGGAATCTAAAATTATATTGAGAATAGTATCCCATACTATGAAATGTTTCCTTTTTAATCTTATATGTTAAATCATTCATATGTGACATTTCAAAGGAAATGTTTTCCTACAACCTTTGATCAGATAGATTTTACAAAAGAGCAAATGTCACACCAACCATAAACAAGGAATAAGAAAACATCAGGCTCCTTAGCACTTTACCCGTTATTCATACAACATCTCCGGGTCTATGGTAGACTTAGCACTAGCGATATCTGAAATCTGGTAAGAGTTTGCTGCTTCTTGCACATTCTAGCTGCTACAATCTGTATGTGAGTTCAAAACTCACAAACAGAGCTTGTCTTATGTATGTAAAAAGAATGGTATTAACTTGAGTTAACTAACACAAGATAAAATCCTAGTGAAAACAAAGCAGTTGCTGATCAGGGAAGCAATTACTGGTACCTGGGAGGGCAAGTGAACTGCTTATGTTATAAATTTAGAATGGTTTAATAAAGAGAGGGAATGTTAACTAAAACTCCTAGGTGCACATGCGGAGAGTCAAGAGGCTGAAACTGAGGTAACTGTGTTGCTATGCTGGGGATGAGAGTAGTCTGTCCTGAAACAAGCTGTATGTTTAACTCACAGGATTAATATTGTATACAGCATAGACTCCAAAAGCTGACATTTACCTCACTCTGAGTCAATCGTAGCTGTAATGGCAGTCATCTCTTGTTCCCTACGTTTGGAACAAACTGGATCCCTGCTTCTGGAGAGGTATACAGTAATGGAGAGTCAGCAGTTCTGTCATAAGCATGTGTTCAAAAAGCACGAGTCAATCCCCCAAAACATCATGAGATTTTAAAGAATAATCAGTTTGGGGTTCTTTGTATACTGAACCTTTAGGTTACATTTGGGTCCTATTTTCTGGCTTTTCTCCACAACCATGAAGACTAATTACTTTATTTTTTAAATGAAAGCTGAGATTGTCATGACTCCAGGAGCTGGTCTTTAAGAAAAATAGCAAGTATGGTGAGAGTTAGCAACACTTAGTCAGTCTCAGAAAGTCTCAAATCTTGTCTCACCTCTCTGAGTATGTGGGTAGCCCAGTGCTCTCTGAAGAGATCTAGGAGAAGGAGAGTGTATTTTCTGATACCACAGATCTTTTAAGTGTAAGCAGAGTCAGGATGAGCTCCACCCTGACATCTGGTGGTGAGGTATGGCAAGTTGTGGAAAAGAACTTCAGGGGCCGATCTCATTTGCATAGGCACACCCACCCTGCCTAGAATGAGGCCATAACTGCCCAAATGATCACTTTGGCTGTTGTGGGATCCCCAGTGTCTCTGTTATTGGGGTGGGAAGAATAAATTGTTATTACCCTGATTATGGGAACTGTGCTTGGAACTGTACTTGGCCTTTTGTTATGATGGAGGGACTCACCATCAACTAAGTAGCACTCGCTAGACAAGGGACATGGGTTCCAAAACTCTGTGAATTGAGAGAGGTTTAAGACAGGTATTAGTGCCTGGTGGTGTGGGCCCTTTTGTGAGGGCCTGAAACACCAATTGCACCTCTGTCTCTCTCCACTGTGGAATGTCAGAGCTAACTTTGGGTCTATTAAGAATCTTGCTACAGGTACTGTGGTGAATTCACTTTGGCCTTATGGTGCACCAGCACTAAGTCTCCCACGACTATGAGCTGAAATCACTGAGCACTGTGTCAGGTAGTGGGGAGCCAGAAGATCTAGAGTGCAGTGGTGCTGTTCATGGATAGGCTGGTGGAGCGTTCGTGAGATGGCGAGGCGAGCTGTGCAGAGCAGAGCTGTTCGTGAGATGGCAGAGTGGAGCGTTCGTGAGACGGCGAGCTGTACAGAGCGGAGCCGTTCGTGGTGGAGCGGAGCGGAGCACTGTGGGGCAGTCAGCTTCAGGACACGTAAGGTGCCCCTTACCTGTTTCCCCCACACAGAGGCACATTTTAGCCAGACTGGGGAGTAACACTAAGCAGATGAACTTTTGAACTCTGGGGCTGGACTTTTTGGACTTTGAGTGATTTGTGGATTGCTGGACTCAAGAGACGTTTGGGTTCTGGGACTCAAGAACCCGAGGGAAAGGATGTGGCCCAATTTGCTGGGGTGGGTCTTTGCTCATGGTTTGGTTAATGAACACTAGTTGTGGTGTTTCCCCAATTTAATGCTGATGTTGTTTACCTCATGTTATTAAAGATTCTCTGCTACACCGAGACTCTGTGCTTGCGAGAGGGGAAGTATTGCCTCTTTGAGGCGCCCAGGGGGTGTGTAAGATTTTCTCAGGTCACTGGGTGAGGGCTCAAGCCAGTTTTGCATTTGCTTTGATGAGAGGGAACCACTGTATACTGAACCCGGCCCTTGCTGCTATCAACTTGGCCTGGCAGAAGGGTTACATAAGAGCTGAAGAGAAAAGTGTAGCATTAAGGTAACTTTTCTCATCAGTTCCTAATAATCTGTAGGTATCTACTGCTCTTATAATGCAATAAATATTTGATACAAAAAATTGCTAAATGGTGCCTTGGGAATCATATGGATTTTTCTAGGCTTTTAAAAACAGCATTCACTCAATATCTAGTTATGTATCAAATTATTTTACCTAAAGGCCAGGGCAAAGAACTGATTTTTTGTTTGTTTAATAAAGTGGGGAGATAAAAGTGAGACTACAGTTCAGGCTCACAAGGCATTCAGAAAAAAATTAATTGTTGCCTAAACTTTTCAGTTTATCCCCACAACTGAGACGACAGATTTGCCATAAGATAGCTGAGAGCTTGAGGCGCTTTGGGATAATGACTTGCTTATGAGAATGCCATGTATCCCCTTTCAATCAGAATTCCTGTACTTAGTATTGCCACATTCACAGCAGCTTTTGAACTTCAATTTACCTAGGAAAGATCTAAAAATTGGAGCCACAGCATTACACTCTGTTAAGATTCATCAGCATGGTAATTGGTTTGCTAAACAGAGCTTACACAAATGATATGACCTCACTTTTTGACTGCATTAGTATTTCAGGCTAAGTAATTATACCTGTTTCTTCCACCTACTCACTTCAAACCACCAAAGTCTCAAAAATGAGACCAACAAAAAATCTCTTACAATGTAGAATATGTCTGAAAAAAATGAACATGTATTTGTGAAGGTCTCTGCAGCTTCTTAGGACAATCTCCAATCTACAGGAAAATATCACCTCTCAGGAAAGGGATGGAACTTACATATACTATCTTTTGCAAAATAAAAAGGACAGGCTTTCAAATGAACAAAGTGTAAGTTCTTCCTTTTATTATTAATTATTAATTATATAGTGCCATAGACAGGCATGGCACTTAATATATACAAAGACAAGATCTCTGACCCAAGGGAAGCTTACAACTTGAGCCACATCCTATCATTGGGATTACTTGTGTATGTAAACCAGAAGGATGTGACCCTCAGTCAGACAGCTAACAAATTTCATGGAGAAGGGCTGATGCCATTAACAAACAGTTGCTCAATGTGTTGTATTTATTTCAAATTTAATGGGCCAGATCTTCAACCAGTGTAAATTTGCCTAGTTCCATTTAAATAAACTAAGGATCTGGCCCTATATCTCTTCACCGCTGGGTGCCGGACTGGTAATGTGCAGTACCCATGTGAAAATTAGGAATGGAAAATAAACAATAAGAAGCATCATTAATGCCTGATTCAGACCTGTGATGTTTTTTCTTTCTTTTTTTGTCCTGACACTTGATTCAATTTGTGTGTGTGTGTGTACACAAAGTGCATGCATAACTTCCTATATAAGATTTGAGTTGCTCTGAGCTGCTAAAATCAATCAAGGTAATTTTTACATCATTTTTCTGGGCACTGTATTGACAAAACAGACTTGATGGATGAGACTTTTTCAGTGTCAGGAGCACATTTAAGAAAGAAACGTGCTGAAATGCCCAAAAGCCAAACCCAATTCCCACTTACTGTATGTTGCTCAGAGTCTCTAGACTCTTCCACTGATTGCATGCTTCCTCTAATGGGAACATATTCAGCATCGATCTTCACATCCATCCTCTGAACATGAGGATTTTCTTTCCTGTGTAGCTTTACTAGTTTTGTAGACACGTGTGGACATGTGCTACTCTTCCCTCTGCTGCCAGGTAACGTGTGAATTTTCTGGTGTACTGGAAGTAGATGAGATAGCCAAAGTAACAAATTCATCCAGAGCTTTTTAATTAATTTCTGCATTTGAATCAAGATGATCTGAGTCCAAATGGTATTTTTTTCTGGTCTGTATCAGAAAAATACAAATCCCCAGACCTAACGTGTACCACATTATTTCTAGAATTGGCTTTTATTTTCACCATTGCAAATGGAAAATTCTCTCTCATAGTCTTCCAGTTGTCAACTCAGAACCAAAATAATCTTTAGATTTTTTTTAATGATGCTTACTAGGGATGGGTAAACTGGTCAAAGAAAATTCTAGACATACTTGTTTATTTTTTTTAAAAACTTCTCTGTCAAATAGTTAGCCCTTTGCAGCCATATCATTCCACTTGTCCTCTGCCACCGTTTTAAAAAACAAAAATGAAAGCTTTCCTTCACTGATTAATCATTACTTCCCCATTACTGAGCTAGCACCCATCAGAATGCTACAGTGTATGTTAGGTCTAAGGATGATCAACCTATCAAATAATTACCGACAAAATTTACCAGAACTGGAAAATTAAATCTGAGAACCTAGTGGATCCTCCAAAGAGTTTATTTACAGCAAGGGAAGTTAAATGGCTTACGTGCAGGCAGAAAAATGGGTGTGTCAAATCAAAACCCTCAATATCTAACCAAAGAAATAAAAGGAAATGAAAGGTGCCACTGTGTTACACTGACACCAGTGACCGCAGGAGGCTGAAATAGCAATCAGCAGGCTATATGGAAGCCTCTGGCCACATCTCTTCTGCCAGCCATATCGTCTACACCAGCAGCCAGGAGGGAGGATGGTGTTGTAAGAGACCCTATGCCAGCACTGTGGTGATCCTCCAAATAAGCCATTTCCTCTGGCTCATTTCTGCCAACAAGATGCAAAGCAGCCACATTGCATTCAAAAATCAAAAATGCATGAAGGTTTTAACCAGCACAAATGGAGTAGATCTTCATTACTCTCTCTATATATAAGTAACTCTGATGGAGCCAATCTAACTGAACAGAAAGGTGTCTGTTTCGGGGGTCTAACACCACCTTAGAAACAAAAAATCTTTTTAGGTACTAAGTTCAAAATATGCAAATAAAACTGGGTCAGTGTTGATAAATGCAAAAAATGCACATTGGAAAACATAATTCCAACTATACATATAAAATGATGGGGCCTAAATTAGCTATTGCCATTCAAGAAAGAGATCTTGGACTCATTGTGGATAGTTCTCTGACAACATCCACTCAATGTGCAGCAGCAGTCAAAAAAGCAAATTGAATACTAGGAATCATTAAAAAAGGGATAGATAAGACAGAAAATATCATATTGCCTGTATATAAATCCATGGTACGCTCACATCTTGACTACTCCTTGCAGATGTGGTCGCCCCATCTCAAAAAAAGATATATTGGAATTGGAAAAGGTTCAGAAAAGGGCAACAAAAATGATTAGGGGTATGGAACGGCTGCCATATGAGGAGATATTAATAAGACTGGACTTTTCAGCTTGGGAAAGAGACGACTAAGGGGGGCTATGATAGAGGTCTATAAAATTGTGACTAGTGTGAAAGAAAATAAAAAAGGAAGTGTTATTTACTCCTTCTCATAACACAAGTACTAAGGGTCACCAAATGAAATTAATAGGCAGCAGATTTAAAACAAACAAGAGGAAGTATTTCTTCACACAATGCACAGTAAACCTGTGGAACTCCTTGCCACATGATCTTGTGAAGGCCAAGACTATAACAGGGTTCAAAAAGAACTAGATACATTCATGGTGAATAGGTCCATCAATTACTATGAGCCAGGATGGGCAGGGATGGTGTCCTTAGCCTCTGTTTGCCAGAAGCTGGGAATGGGCAACAAGGAATGGATCACTTTATGGTTACCTGTTCTTTTCATTCCCTCTAGGGCACCTGGCATTGCCACTGTCAGAAGACAGGATACTGGGCTAAATGGACCTTTGGTCTGACCCAGTATGGCCGTTCTTATGGGTCTTCGCTCCTTACTGCAAAATGAGTCCAATGGTCAGTGAGTTTTAAGACAGTATCAAATCTGTGTTTTGATTTTCCTCCTGGAAATTAGAAGTTCTTTGTTGAAATACAACAGATTTTAGGATTGTGAAAAGATAGATTAGATATTACAAAGCCCAATGACACCCAATGGACATGGCAATAAAAAAGTAAGGAGGCAATGACAAAAAAATCACTCTCCCCCTACTATCATATAGGCTTCGACAGGGTTAAATGAACTGTCCTCAGAGTGTACTATTGTACTGCTGGTTCAGACAAATGGGTTTCATTTTATTGCATCTGATAAGGTTTTTCGATTGATTCTGGTGAGTCACCATGCCTTACAGCACAGGTTGTTATTCTTAGAACAGCATCTAGTGCCCTTCACAACACAGTGGTTTTCCTTAAAACAGGCAGGTGTTATCAAAGCTAAAATGATCAGTGGAAGCAGCTTCTCAGATTTTGTGAATCAAATTAAATCAATTCTGCATCAGCACAATAACCATAACAACCAGAAATACAAAGAGACCAAGACAAAAATAATGATATTTTTCTCTTCTGTCAATGTTTGGACAGCATGAAGATCCAGTAGAATCCACAATTCATAATCCCAATCCACAGCAGGAATGGTGTCAAAATATGTGTTTTCAAGTCACAAGAGCTGTTCTTAATGAGACTAAACGTACTTTTCACTGGAATAATTAGCAATACCAAGAACTGTGACTTCAGTTTTAGAATGCAGACAACCAGTGAAGCTAGTATCCTTCTTCATCCTCACATTACATTGAGTTAATAATAATGAGAGGTGAACCTCAAAAAGTTTCAAAAATATGGATAGGTTTTAAATAACAAAAGCAGCGTATCTAATAATTAGAACAGAAAATGAAAACTCAAAACTCCTTGAGTCCAACTCTTCCATTGACTCAATGAGTAATATTAGAAAAAAGTCACCTCTCTGTACTCCATTGTTACCCTATATTTAAAAAGGGATAATAATATCTATTTACCTAACAGGGGTGCTGAAAGAATTCACTGTTTGTAAAGTGTTTTAGGAATCCCGGACACAAGACACAATAAAAATGCAAAGTATTATTATACTGCCATTATTATCCATAGGTTCTGACGCTTATTTTGAACCTCTGGATTGGAAATATCAAAAGAACAGGCTCTCCAGAAAACTTTGCAGTACTTCTTTGCAGGAATGTCAGAACTCCTGCCAGAGTAGTGTCTTTCTTAGTATTCACGCTTGTGATCATATCAAGCAAGTGCAGAGGCCATAAAACAAATTAAGAGTTAACTAAAACTTTTTCAGTCTTCCATTTGAGTTTTGGATGGTTTGTCTTTTATCCATACAAGTTTGTCTGTGCTTAGTTTTTGTCATTGCAGGTGTGCTCTGTAATTTAGATAAAGACTGATTAAAATCTGCTAGGATTGTTTTAAACCTCTTTTTTTCAGGATTTTTCTTAAAACTCCTAAAAAAGTTCCGAACAAGAGATTTAATCTTATTCAACTCCTTCCTTCCTGTCTGTTTGTTAGCAACTAGAAACATGTCCAAGCCACAAACCAGATCATGCTTCAAATTTTCCCAAGATTTGAGGGTATTCAGAATCACAGTGCTGGTTTGGCCAGCTAGAATAATAGAGTAAGGCCCAGATCCACAAAGGGATTTAGGCCCCTAAATCGCAGATATGATGCTACTGTGAGCCACAAAACCCCCATTCAACTGCTTCCAAACCCTATGGGTTCCTATACTCACTCAGCACCTAAATTTTCACTGTAAAAGTTTCCTAGGCACTTAAGTTTCTGCCTCTGGCCATGTGCACTACTGCCTCAGGCAGGTGTCCAGATACCTAGCTCACTCCTAAACCCCAGTACGATCATCAAAATAAGTGAAGATAGGTGTCACCCCACCTATCTCGCCTGTGGGGCCCAATCCACTAGGCATACTCACAGCAAGTCTAACTCCACACAAAATCAGTGTGTGGGGCGGTGCTTTAGCTCAGTGGTTAGGGTGCTCACGTACGCTGTGGGAGACTCCACTTCAATTACCTCATCTGCCTCATGTAAAAAAGGGATTTGAACTTGAGTTTCCCATTTCTCAGGTTACGGCCCTAACCACCAGAGTATATCATGCTCTAGTAGGGGGGCACGATCAGTCGCTCTTGTTGAAGCTGTTCCGCTTTGTGACACTAATGAAATATGCAGAGCGGTGAACCACAAAAAGAGTGAGTCGATAGCCCAATGGTAAGGGCACTCACCTGAGATGGAGGGAACTCCTTTTCAAGTCCCTTATCCACAATAGGCAGAAAAGGGAATTGAACAAGTGTCTTCCACATTCTAAGTGAGTACCCTAACCACTGGGATAAAGGTTATAAGGCACCTTTATGTCCTCCCTACCCATTTTGTGTGGTGTTACACATGCACTACCATCATTCTTGCAAGAAACAGCATAGGCGTCCAACACCAGGAGCTGGTTCCCAGCTAAAGATCACAAATAGAGATAGGTGCCCCTCTATCAGCTGGACTTTGGTGCCTAACTCCATGTGAGGAGCAGGGTTTAGGTCACCCACTTCTTGTCAGCATCTCCCACTGGCTAGTTTAGGCAGCTCCCTGCCTAGTGTGCTGGCTTTTGTGGCTCCCATTCTCAGACACCCATCTCTCCACATGCATTGTATAAGGGTCCTAAAGTGCCTAATCCAGAGTTTGTGGATTCCACAAATTTTCCAGGCACCTGCAAGTTAGGTGTTGCAATGTCTAAGTTTCTTTGTGACTCCAGGCCAGGAAGTTCAGATGCAAATCTGGAATTTCCCAGTTTCAAGGTGTTTTGATCCTGGGTTTTAATTCAAGTACAATCTCTATTAGAAAAATTACAAAACCTTGGCGTATGATACAGAAAAAAGTTCAGTGCCATCCTCCAGTGGAGCAGGACCTGTCCTTTTATACTCATGAGGAGCTTTACATCTGTTCCTGAGCTTTCCTTTCAAATTAGCTGCTTGTCAATTCTATTACCAAACAAACATGAAGCAGCTGTAGCTCTCAAACTATGATTAGTATTAAACCCTCCAAATCCAGCCCAGCTTAGACAGCCTCCCTACAGTTCTACTCAATTGATTAACTCCAACTGGTTTGCTACTAAAACTAATCTATTAATTTAACAATCTGAAAAAGCTTCAAATAAAATGCTTCGCACCAGAGGGATCCAAACAATAAATTAAGTAAAACATCAATGGAAACACCACAGAAGTGTTTTAGGAGGGATAAGTAACTTTACGTTTTAAATCAGCGAGTTTTCTTTTGCCTTATGGCACTAAAACTGCGGATTATTTTATTGATTCAACACTCATTGTTTTCCTTTGCAGAACACTGGAGGACTGGAATAATGTTATTATTAGTCTTCTGAGAGAGGTAACATAGAAGACTCTAGGAACCACAAACCAATCAGCCTACTATCTGCTGCCTATAACGTCTGTGGCAAAGTATTGAACAATTGATTTACAGTAAAGCTGGATTCCAACCATGCTAAAGAATAGCATTTTGATCTGAACTTTCCACAACATATACCACCTCTGTGCAATCAACAAAATACAGGAAAAGATGACAAGCTATAACCCATCAATTTGCATTATCTTGTTAAGTCACGTTGCGATGTGTAAAATACTATAAAGGAAGAAAGGTTTCAGAGTAACAGCCGTGTTAGTCTGTATTCGCAAAAAGAAAAGGAGTACTTGTGGCACCTTAGAGACTAACCAATTTATTTGAGCATGAGCTTTCGTGAGCTGTAGCTCACTTCATCGGATGCATACCGTGGAAACTGCAGCAGACTTTATATACACACAGAGAATATGAAACAATACCTCCTCCCACCCCACTGTCCTGCTGGTAATAGCTTATCTAAAGTGATCATCAAGTTGGGCCATTTCCAGCACAAATCCAGGTTCTCTCACCCCCCCCCCCCCCCATACACACACAAACTCACTCTCCTGCTGGTAATAGCTCATCCAAACTGACCGCTCTCCAAGTTTAAATCCAAGTTAAACCAGAACATCGGGGGGGGGGTAGGAAAAAACAAGGGGAAATAGCCACTCCCAGTCTCTATTTAAGCCTTTATAGAGACGGAGTGGCTAAGTCATTATGCAAGGTAGCCTATTTCCCCTTGTTTTTTCCTACCCCCCCCCCCCCGATGTTCTGGTTTAACTTGGATTTAAACTTGGAGAGCGGTCAGTTTGGATGAGCTATTACCAGCAGGAGAGTGAGTTTGTGTGTGTATGGGGGTGGGGGGGGTGAGAAAACCTGGATTTGTGCTGGAAATGGCCCACCTTGATTATCATGCACATTGTAGGGAGAGTGGTCACTTTGGATGAGCTATTACCAGCAGGATAGTGAGTTTGTGTGTGTGGTTTTTGGGAGGGGGGTGAGGGGGTGAGAGAACCTGGATTTGTGCTGGAAATGGCCCAACTTGATTATCATGCACATTGTGTAGAGAGTTGTCACTTTGGATGGGCTATCACCAGCAGGAGAGTGAATTTGTGTGGGGGGGTGGAGGGTGAGAAAACCTGGATTTGTGCTGGAAATGGCCCAACTTGATGATCACTTTAGATAAGCTATTACCAGCAGGACAGTGGGGTGGGAGGAGGTATTGTTTCATATTCTCTGTGTGTATATAAAGTCTGCTGCAGTTTCCACGGTATGCATCCGATGAAGTGAGCTGTAGCTCACGAAAGCTCATGCTCAAATAAATTGGTTAGTCTCTAAGGTGCCACAAGTACTCCTTTTCTTTTTATAAAGGAAGAAAGTTGGTTACATACAATATACTTACTGATCTACTGGTTCAAGGGTGCTAACCAAAACAAGTGAGGGGCTGTGTCACTGCCTGTCCTGAAACCCTGAGTGCCTCACAATGCCTTGCTGCTGTAGCTCCCAACCTAGGACACTCACAACCAGCCTACAAGCTTGCAGATCACACCCTGCATGTCTGTGTGCTTAGACAACCCTGGTTCAGCAGCTCTGACCGCAACAGCCTCTCTACAGCCCCAGTGTGGCTTCCACCAGCCCTAGTTACTACTTGCAGGGTGACCCCAACACACTCCCAATTCAGAACTTTCCCAAACCGTGTGCTCTGTAATGTCCAGCTCTCTCCTGGACAGTAATAAGGTTTGCTTTTCCTCTAAACACAAAAGCACATCAGAGCATATTAACTTAACTGGAGTAAAGACACCATCCATTTAAATACAGCACTGAGATGGTTTATATTAACAATAAAACAAGTTTATTAACTAAAGAAGATAGGTTAAGTGATGCCAATTAAAAGGAATAAAGTTAGAAAGGGTTACAAGCAAATAAAAATGAAAACACACATAAAAAAGTCTAAAAATCTAGTAAAATACAGGCTTTGTTCAAGATATTTTTCTCGCCTATAGTCAGTTCCCAGAGATTTCAAAACAAACACACACACACACACACACCTTGGTTGAAGGGCCCATCTTTCTCAGCTTGCAAGAGCTCTCTTCACTTGTGTCTGGCTAGTGGATGGATGCCAAACATGGCTGCTCTCCTTGCTTATATATTCCCAAAGTTCAATAACTTTGTTTCAAGAGGCAGGGTGGCTCCATGCTGTTCTTCCCTTCCTGTGGACTTCCCATCCCCTTCTATATAAATGGGACTTCTGTTGTTTTGATTCCATCATCTTTAACTGACATAGGAGATAGGTAAATAGTTACCTTCTCTACTGTGTAGAGGGAACCTGTTTCTCCCCAAATGGCCACAGACTTCAAAACATAATATCATTTCCTCATATAGTGTTAATACATACATTTCACAATTATATTACTCACCAAGGTGTCATTAGCTTTCACTCCTATACTGCAACAACATTGCATACAGTCAGTTGATTCAATTGCTTTCCTCCAGAACCATGAGGGCTAGAAACATCCTTTTTTAAAATAAAAGCTGAGATTCTCACATAATCACTTCACTCCAGGAGCTGAACCTTAAAGAAAAACACCAAAAATGAGAGTTGCAACAAAATCATGATAGTTGGCAAGACTGATTCACATATTATAAAATAGGTTCTATACATTATATAATACTATTAGATGTTACATGCAGATGGCAAAGGTCCAGTGGTTTAGGTGCAAGCCTGAGATTTGGGAGACCCCAGTCCAGTTCCCAGCTCTATCACAAATTTCTTGTGTGGCCTTGGGACCTTGATTTCAGTGGGAATTAGACACCTAATTACTTTTAAAAATCTGGCCCTTAGTCTCCCTGTGACTCAGTTTCCCATCTGTAAAATGAGAATAATAATGCTTTTCTATGTTGTGGGGCATAATACATTACATACATTCTGAAGATAAATACATTAAAGATTATGAAGCATTCAGCTATTATGGTAATGGTAGAAGAAGAGAACTATCCTAGATTGAAAAACACTTGGAAAACAAGAAACCAGTTGGCAAAACTAATAACTAACTATTACAAAACGACTAACAATGAGCACTGCATTTTTATGACTCAGGCAGTTGAGCAATCATGATCAGTGTTCTGTGGTTGCTGGCATCCCATGAGTTCTTTCCCAGGCTAACCCAAATGAAGTTTGTTGCAGTCGTCCAGCTTAGAGGTAACAAATGTTTCAATAGCAAAAAGTAATGCGGCAAGCAGACAGGGTAGAAAAACACAGTGCTTTGTTAAACTATGTCTACACTTAAAACACTACAGCTGTAGTTAATCCACCTTCCTGAGAGGCAGTAGCTAAATTGACGGAAGGATTCTTCCATCAACCTAGCGCTGTCTACACGGAGGTTCAGGTAGTCTTAACTACGTCTCTCAGGGATGTGGATTTTTCATAACCCTGAGAGATGTAGCTATGCAGATTAACTTTTCAGTGTAAACCAGCCCCGAGAAGCCAACATTACATGCTGAGGCTTTGTGTGTTTCCAAAAAAGCCCCAAGCTTGCATTCCTCAGGCCAGGTCTACACTAAAAAGTTAGGTTAACCCAGCTATGTCACTCAGGAGTGTGAAAAATCCACACCCCTGAGCAACACAGTTCAGCCAAACTAAACCCCACCCCAAGTGTAGATGGTGTAGACAGAAGCATTCTTTATTCCAACCTAGCTACTACCGCTCAGGAGGGTGGATTAAATACAGCAATGGGAGAACCCCTTCCATCACTCTAGTGAGTGTCTACACTGAAGCACTACAGCTGTGCCACTGCAGTGGTTTAAGTGTAGACATAGCCCATCTCTGGTCTCATACCAATATATGTCCTTCTTGAAACCTGATCACCTTTTTCCAGTTCCACTCAGCATACTACATCAAAAGCATGGATTACCATGGCAAGGCCAAGTTCTGAAAGAAAAAGTCACAGCTTCTGAATATTTCAGAAGCCCCAGCTGAACTCCTGGCCACCTCAGAAATACGGGCTTCCGTGTTCAATTTATGGACTTTTTGTTTCTTTCTTTCTTTTCCTACCCAAATTATTTTTTTAATTCAATAGCTTTAAAAATAGCCTAACCAATATTTAAGACTATGTGGATATAGGCTCATAAAATAATCTGAATGGATTTTGCTCACCTAACAGATTTTCATTAACATGAGTCTTGAGACAGCAATGCATGCTCTTGTTCCTCCTTAGTTTGTGCTGGTCTTAAAAACTCAGATTCAAAAAGTTAGACAGCCCAAGTATATTAGGTTTATGATGGAGAGAAAATATTGACAAAACAAAAGCAAAAAGTAGAATTATTTACTGATGATGTCCTGACTAAGGTACAGATTAGGAAATTATATGTACTGTATACTTTTTTCATCCCTGTCACTGATATAAATCCAGTTGACCATTATTACATTAGATGGGTGTTGGGATGGAAAATAAATGTGACAGTCTCATTAGTCAAGTTCTTAATGGAAAAAACCACTAGCACCAACTGACACTGTTAAGGCATCTGGAGTGGCTCAAGATTATGAGTACCAACCACAGGGCAGACTTTTAAGAAGCAGAGCACAAACCCCAAACTGGTGTGAATTCTATCCTTAGATTTCACCAACCAAGTATCAAGTGTAAACTCCTCAGACACTATAATAGCCTACCCATGGAGTCACAGACAGTCCCCTTGGGCACTCCAGTCTATCTTGCCACCTAGGCAAGTTTGCCTTTTCTTACACCAAAAATCACAATAATATTCAGGTTAATCCTAGTCCCAAAGAACCAGTTACTTGCCCCAGGTCAATTGTACTTTAAATCGTATACCAAAGATGACACTTATAGACAATCCTATGATAAAACTAACTAAAGATTTGGAGTACTTGTGGCACCTTAGAGACTAACCAATTTATTTGAGCATGAGCTTTCGTGAGCTACAGCTCACTTCATCGGATGCATACCGTGGAAACTGCAGAAGACATTATATACACAAAGGAAGATGATGTCTGTCTGTATCTGTACAAGTTTTTTCATGCAGTTGATAGACTTCCACTCCATATGGCTTTTCTTTTTGCGAATACAGACTAACACGGCTGTTACTCTGAAACCTAACTAAAGATTTATTCACTAAGAAAAAGAAATGAGAGTTATTTACAAGGTTAAAGCGGCAGGTAAACATATACACACAAGTGAGTTACAGTCTTAAGTTTCAAAAGGTGGTAGAAAGTTCTATAATAAACAAACTCTATCTGTCCTGGAGGGCTAACCCAGGGCAAGCACTGGGGAACTTCTGCTTATTCTTAGTAATCCTTGCCCCTCAGAATATGTCTACACAACAAAGAAACTCCCGGCTGACCCATGCCAGCCAACTTGGGCTCGTGGGCTCAGGCTGTGGGGCTGTTTCATTGCTGTGTAGACTTCTGGGCTTGGGCTGGAGCTTGGGCTTTAGGACCCTCCCACACCACATACCCTCAGAATCCAAGTAGCACAAAGATACCCTTTCATCCTGTCACGGATTTTTATTCCCTTCCCCCAGAGTTCAAACTTATGTGACGAATCCACAGGCACGTCTCTTCTTCATAGGCGTGGGGGAGGGAGCAATCAACGAAAGTCTTTTATCCTCTGATGTTCCACAATGATTTGTCTATAGGCCTTCTTTTGTTGGGCAGGAGATAACACCTCCTGTGGCAAACCAATATTTCACACTGAGTAATGTTTCTCTCCTGACTGATGGTATGAGTTACAGAGCAAACACTTAAATATTATCTTATAACATGGGATACGGTTATTATAAGTCAGTTTCATGCATGCAGAAACTTGCAAGCATTTGATAAACACTAAATGCATTTTTATAAGCCTAATACCTATTTTACCTACAACACACCCATGAGCCAGACTGGTTTCCTATGCATCTGTCAGTGTTCACTTGAGGCCTAAGGGCCTTGGCCTGAGCTGGTTTGCTAGTATCACAGATACTTTGCCACAGTCATAGTAGTGAGACAATAGACTGAATGGACATGGAGAATGAACACCTAGAGGTTTTCTTTTCAAGCCAGGAAGCTTGCTCTGCCACTGCCTGTGCTCTGCCTGTTCTGCAGATAAGGGTCCTTTGCGCTTTCTCCCACCTTTCACAAGTACTAAGTTTCCCCAAAACAATTTAAAAAAAAATAAGTTGTTTAAAAACTCAAGGATTTCACTCCCATTGGGTGTAAAGAAAATTGTGGTTTTGTGGGGACAGTATCTGGATTCAGGACAAATGACACAGAATCAGAAGCTCTGTAAGATATGTAGAGGAAAGTCACCTACAACAGCTCTTCCAATTAAAATGGGCAATGAAAACAATCAAATACCTTGGCAGTACCTTAGCCCAGTTAGACAAAACTGTAAAGAAATGATACAGCATTCCTGTGGGACAGCAAACATAATTTAGGAAGAAAAGGCTTATGGTTTTATGGCTGGGAAGAATAGCAGCAGTGAAAATGGACAACCTGCCAAGGATTCATTTTCTTTTTAAGCTCTGCCAATTCAAGTGTCTAGGGAAACTATAAATGACATCCAGCATTGTAACACAAGATTTGGGGTTAGAAAGTAAACTGCCAAGACTTACCAGTCATGTGCTATCAAGGGGAAAAAAGGGTATGGGATGGGCCCTCTACAACACTGAAACATATCATTGGGCTACACAACTAAGGACCCTGTTCCAGAAATATGGCCTTTCCAGAAGGAAGCACACTAAGTTCCAAGGGATCTTCTGCAAACACAGATTGAGGGCACAGAGGAAATAACTGCTTAGAAAGAAAAAAACAACTGCTGAAGTAGCAGTTGGTAGTTTGAGGAAAACTGAGGTTATTAATTTTATCTAGGGCTCAGGGACTGAAGCCTTGAAGTACGGGTTGGGCAAGGCGCCTCATTTTCTCAGGCAAGAATAAGGAATCTTGGGAAAGTGGGTTTTATATATTCTTCCCTCAGAGAGGAGGAGATTGTGGAGGCTTGCAGTCTCTCCCAGAGCTACAGAGATCTTGGCCTATTTTGCTTCCAGCTGTGAGGAAGAAACATTTTGAGGAATCAGTCTGATACAATAAAGGTAAACACTGGGTAGCAATTGCTTTGGAAAATCATATAGAAATTAAATTTTGGTATATACTAAAAAGAAAAGACTAACCTCAACATTAATGGAATTACATGAAACACCAATCACTAAATTCTCTCTAGAATTTTAGAGACAGTTGTTTGAAAAGTTGGCTATTGCCTCATTTTCTTTCCCCATATTTTCATTTCTCCTAGGATGTGAAGCTAGCGTATTTGCACAATGAGATCAATACATTGGGCCACATCAAATACCTACCACAGGGAATTAATGTAATTACGGCAAACCAAGGGACCGTCAATATGATTACAATATAATAATGATTACTAAGAAACAGGAAGGGAAAGGCCAATATATAAAAGCTAGGAAGAGTTAGTGGAAAAAGAACAATAGACTTTAATTTGGGAAAGAGTAGATGTCAAGGTTCCTTCCCCACTCTGAACTCTAGGGTACAGATGTGGGAACCTGCATGAAAGACCCCCTAAG